ATGTCAAATGAAACTTTTCTCAAAATCCAGTAAGAATGGGATTTTCAGGCAGTTTAACTCTTCATTGCTTGGTGGGAAAGTATTTTATTGCTTATTGAATTGATGGAGCACAGTTTGAAAACCTACTTCATATGAGATTAATGAAGAGTGACCCTGTAATTTTTTGTTTAAACAGATATTTTTGAGAGCAAAATGATTACGCCAGGATAACATATATACCCTGGGACTGCCCCAGGCAAACCAGGCTGTGCTGCTGCATTAGTGGATGCCGGGGCGCAGGTGTGACTCTCTGGTAAACGGAAGTGGGAAATGGGAAATGGATGGGAATCCTGTTCCCACCTTTACAGCCCTAAGCTGCTAGAGGGCAGCTTAGGAGCCTGGCCCTACAGAGACTCTGCAGCCACTTAAATTTGCACAGCAGTGACACTGTTGGGTGTGCTCAGCCCTTTGCCTAGTGTTTATTGGCATCTGCTATCTATGTGCCAGGTGTTTTCTGAGGTCCTGAGAGCGATGGTAAATTACATGATTCTGAAGATTCTTAAGGTTTACCCTATTCATTCAGCAGAGCTTGGCAATGATGAGTTCCGTACTTCTACCATTAACAATTGAGAGATGTAAGAATATCTTGTTTAAGTGGGAAAAGGCACAAGAGCTTCCAGCCCTGAATTTGGAATTCGAAGTGTGTCTAATAGGTCTTCATCTCTATCCCCTCCCCCCCACTTCCGAAACTGAACCGTAATTAGGATCTGTGGGTATTTGCATATAATCCTTCAGTTAGCAGTCACTCTATTGGTAGGAGTTGAACATAGCTGTATGCGTTGATGTTTGTTTAACTAGTATTCATCTTTGTGTGTAAGTTGTGTTGGAAATAACTGGAGGAAATACTAATGATGGGACAAGCTCCTGTGTGTATCTGTCTGTGTCTCTAGGATCTGGGAGAGGAAGGTAAGAGTATATTCTTGTCAAGGAGAGAAAAATGAAGAGATACAGAAAAGGGAATAATAAGGAAAAATATAAAGAATCAAAAAAGAAGAGTAAAAGACACTGAAATGAGATTTTCTAGACTACAATAGTATATGTATGTTAAGAGTTGCATAAAGGTGCTTAAGATTAGAAAAACGCCCCCCATTCTGTCTTGGCTTTTCACTGTCAGTTATCGATGTGATGGCTGTTGTTGCAAATGGGGTCGCAGGAGCCCAGGTCTGGTGCGTAGACTCTACAGACTGGAACTTCGCTAGTATGGCTTTCCAAATAGTTGCACTTAATTGAAGATATATTTTAATGTTCTACGTATAAAGTATCAAGGAACTGATTTAATATAACAGATTTTAGACTGGTGTTGACTTTAAAGTCAGATTTCACATTAATTTACCCCGATGTTTTATTTTCCTTAAGACATAAAAAAGAACTTTGCTTTTCCTGTATCTTTTAGCTCTATGGAATAACATGATTGCCTGTGCTACCTTTAGAAGATTGTAAATACTTCTCTTATTTTTAACGGTAATTTTCAAAAATAATTATATATAAATCAGATCTGGAGCACTCACCAATAACAGTTGAAAGTTCAAGATATCACAGTTATCTTTTTGCTGAGTTCTGAGCTCAAGACTTAGGAATTCATTAGTCACTTATGAATGAATGCAAGAGGAACTTGAACTCACACTGAACTACTTTTGGCAAGTTCAGACATGGGTTTTTTTTTTTGGAGATTAGTGAACATTTAAACAGTGATTTTTTTATTATTTTTTTTAATGAAAGGTTAACTTAGGTAAAGAGATGGCAAAGGCCCATGTGCAGTTAAAGAGCAAACTATTTTCCTATTTCGGATTTTAAGTATATTAGTGTTTTCATATAGTTTATAAAGTCTTGGAAACATTGGATTACTTGCACTATTGATGAAGTGTTTTGAGAATATTATTTTTCCTGGTTTAACATGTAAAAAAAAAAAAAAAAGTAAGTTAACTTTGTGAATAAAAATGCAGGCCTTAAAGAAAGATCTGCTTCAAAGCCAACAGTCCCACCAGAAGAAGCTGAGCCTTACCCTTGGCTGGAGGAACAGGTTCCCGAGGACACAGGTAAGCTATCCTGTAATTCTGGCCGAAGCGCCTCCACCTGCCAGGTGTTCCAGTTTGCAGATTCCAGAATCATGTTTTACCAATAGTTTTGCAAATACTTTGTAAATAGTTGTGAAATACTTTTTAAAATCTTCTCTTCTGAAATTTTATAGTAAACTTAACTTTTTTTCTAGTAAAAATTTATACAGGATTTTAATTTTTGAGCTCTAGAGTCGAAGGCACAGATAGATGGTTGCTCATTGCCCGAGAGCCTACTTTTGGGAACATCATGAACTAAATACTTTGTCTCTTGATTCCAATTCCAGGACTATCGTGACATATCAAAAGTACCTCAAAAGTAAAATTAGACACAAATTGTACACTAGTTTGTCATCGTTCGCCACGTTATTTAATAGGTTAGGTCTGCTGAGTTGCCAGTCTTTTTAAAATAGGAGTCTCCTTTCAACATTAAAAGTCTTCCCAGACTTCCACGTGTTGTCTGTGAAGCTGTTTTACACATCCCTGAATTCCTAGGTCAGTTCAAGTATCTTAGTCACCCAAGGGCCTGTGACCCATTCTATGAGAACTCCTGAAATCTCCTAATACATTGGTAAATGAAATTCGAATCCATTACTGTCATTTCCTATTTATGATGAGATAGTTATTACAAAGTATATTTAATTTCTGCACACTTTTCATTTGCTCCATTCTCAAAAGTTTGGTTTCGTTTTGCCACCCAGTGGAGGTATTAGGTACGACACCACGTATTTACTGGCAACTTAAGTCCTGGGTCCAAGTGGTACTTGGGCTGATTTTATCACTGTGCTGATAAATAATATTTGGTTTTCCTTCCTTCCTTTTAAGATTAGTATATTGATCTGGTTTTGAAAATTTGTTCAAATCATAATCCCAAGAGAACTTGCTGTCTCCCTCCCATTCCTACAGAATTGCTATGAACATACGATAGTTCCAGAGCAAGAATGATTTTTTTGTTTTGAAATTTAAATACGTATTTGGATTTAGCACCTCATATTTTACTTTGTGCCAAATAAGTTTCTAATTTAAAAATCTTGTTTTTCAAAGCTAATACTCTGAAATATTGTGCTGTTTGCTTCCACTCTTTTTAATTTTTTGTTAGTATCACTCTTTGCATATTATGGATAACTTGTCCTCCTAAATCTGTCAGTTATTATCACCTCATATTCTTTTCAACTTCTTGGCAATATCTGGTTTAGTTGAAATGTGGCCTTTTCAACCTTGCTGTTACCTAGGTGTTTAGCTTCTCATTTCTCTGACCACCACCTATTTCACAAACATAGGTACATGCCTCTCATTGAAACACAATCACATACCCGCCTGTTGATCCCTATGGTGCTTTCTCTCTGCCCCCCAGTCCCTCTCCTTGCTGAAGGAGCCAGATTTTTTGGAAGAAGAAGCTACACTTGCTCTTTTGCCTTATTTTCCACTTAATCTTTAATTCATCGCAGTCTGGCTACTGCTCCCTGGGAATGGGAGGGGCTCGAGAGTCAAGGACAGAGAAGACGGGATGATGACTCGCCTAGTTCCAAACAGAGCTATCACAGATGGTTCCGAGGTATGCGAGGGCTAGATTGTGGAGATCTTAATATTCTGTTCCCGGAAGCTTAGGCAAAGGAAGCTGTTAAAGGGTTAAGCAAAGGAGCAGAGTGCCTGCCTCCACTTCTCACTCACAGTGTGTTCTGTGGATGGTTGTAAAACTGGGACTCCCCGTAGGAAGCTGTCATTGTGAGAGATGGTGAGGGAGGAATAGAGATAGGCAGGCTCCTCTGTAATTATATGACAATATATAGAGAGATGGTTTGTGAAATACAAACATCTCTAAAAATGGAAATGGTTTTTGCTTTAGAAATGGTTTCGTAGTGTGATTAGCATGATAAATTCTTAAACATTTTCCTATCTGAAGTTCCAATTAGCTTACTCTGCTTTTGTCATTGAATATTAGCTCGGGAATACAGCTGATGTCCTTGGCATTTCATGGGACAGCATGCATGATTCTGTCTAATGTCAGTTCTATTTACTGAACATAGAGGACGTTTGTTAGAAAATTTATAACAATGTCCGTGTAGTTATAGCTTCTTGTTTGTCGTGTGATGGTGCAGTGAACCTGATAATCTGTTACAGTGGTGTTGGAATGTCGGTACTGATGTTCAGTTTTGTAACTTATACGTACTTGAACCTGTGGACCTGACCGTCAGATCAGGTTCTCTAGAGCGGAAAGGATTGTCAGTCATGTAGGGTCTTCTACTCACAATTCGTGACAGCTTCTGGGAGTTGACCACCCAGTCCTCGGAGCAGCCAGGGGCCCTTCCTCCTATCAGTCAGCGAGGATGCTGGTTGGCCACATAATTTAATGCCGTCGACCTCGTCTTCCACATCTTTATCTTTATTTCCCAGTAGTTCCTTTTCTGAAAGCTTTGCTCGTCCCATCTTCTTTATTCTATCATTAGTGTGAATTTTGTTAACAAGAAACAAACAATTTTGTTCTGAGTGAGGTTTTCTTTTTACAGAAAAATCTGAACCCAAATTAGCTTCCTTTTTTAAAAATCTCATGAAGTCTTTGAACATATCTACTGTCAAAATAAAACTAATTTCTAAATATCTACCATATTTGCCAACATAGAATAAAAAGTGGTCAATTGATATGAAAAGTATGCATAGTAGATTCGCCAGACATATTCATTGGAATGTATATATCTATAGATGCCATATTTCAGTTCTACATTAATGTCTAGAGTTTTTCTACTTAGTTGTGTTTTGTAATTATTTCAGGACGTCAGCATATCGAAGATGAAGTACAAGAAGAAATTCATTCCCCTCTGCATGAAGCAGTATACACGGATCATGGTATGAATTAAAATCTGCTTTATATATATTACTGAAATAATGCTTAATTACATCAAATGGCTTGGACATTATTTGAAAATTTAAATCATAATTGAGTGCTTTTTTTTTTTATTAAAGGACAAAGATTTCTGATTGACACTAATTTTATGTTACCCTATCTTACTATTAAGGAACTTGTCATGTACATCTAATAAAGAAATGGTAGGAATGCATGAGAATAAGCAAATCGAGACCAATGATACGTCAAGAACAGGTGGCAAGAACAGGGATGAAGAAAATAGGACACAGCCAACAAGCTGTAATGGGCTGTCCAGGTGCTATCGCTGACTCTCAGATTTTACTGCGTGCTTGGATGGTCGCCAAAACACAGAGGAGAAACTTTTAATTATGTAGGTCATATTACCAGAGAGGAAATAACGTGCGATCTACTGAGGAAATATTAAGCATTTTCCCAGCGCTTACATCTAAAATTTTTATATAAAGTTCTCTGTATAAATAATACTCTGGAAACCAATGTCTTAAGATTTTATAAGATTGTTTCTTGAAGCATCCCTTGATAAAAGCAGATAGTATAACCCCAAATGTAACTCACAAAGGGATTTTGAAGAGGGCAGATCACATGATATCCTGATGCTGAGAGTGGTTTGGTGTGAGCTGACGGTAGTCCTGAGGGGAAAACATTACATTTCTTAAAAACAAACAGAACTCCCTGTCATTTAAATTGGGCTTTAGCCGGCCTACTCAACTGTCTTTTTAGTCTTAGGTGTTTTGGTGTTAAAGGTAAAGCCTCCCGTCTAGCTCCGCTGCCGCTTGGTTGGGGAGACCAGCTTCGGCTGAGTTGTAGGTTTTTGCCACTGGCTGCTAGGGGTCTCGGAGTCCGTGTCCTTTCATTGCCAGCTTCTTCTCAGCTAGGAAAGACACTTCCCCTGCACGTACAGTCTGCCTATATGAACAAACACAGCCTTTCCCTTCCTATGCGTTTTTAATGTGACACAAAGAGAATGCAGCCTAAGTCATTGATTTCAATATAATGAGACAGGTGCTGTAATGGAGAAACAGGACGCCATGTGCAGGTTGCTCAGATTTGGGGGTTAGCAGAGGCTTCCTGGAGAAAATGACATTTTGATTTAGGAGCGGAAGGATGGACTAAGCGCTTTGCCAGGCACACGTCAGCAGAATGTTCTAAGCAAGAGGCATGTGTGAAGGAAGTCCAGAGGCAAAAGAGGGTCGGAAAGGAGTTCAGGATGGCTGGCCCGTGGGATGCGCAGGGGGTGAGTGATAAGGGAGAGGATGTTTTTACTTGGTTCTAATAGTAAGTGAAACCATCGGAGGGTGTCGAGGCGTGTTGTGCATTCTGTCTCCAGCGTGGAGAGCGCGTCGGAGGCAGTGCGCAGTGAGGATGTCAGGTGGGAGGTTGCACTGGTAACTCAGTGAGTCGAGACGGTTGGTCAGACTAACTCCAGTCAAAGGTGGGGAGGAGTAAAGTGGGGAAACGTGGTAGGCGTTCAGGTGGGTGGGCGTGGGAGGACTGAGAGAAGAGGGAGAAATTGAGTCTAGCACCTGTGTTCCTGCCACGAGCCTTTGTGTGGGACCCGTTCTCTTCTTTATAGAGACTTTCTCCTTAGAAAATCACATAGGCTGTGGCTTTAAACGACATTTGTATCGCTTCTGAACGTAGATCTGCAGCCCTCATCTCTCGTCTAAGCTCCTGGCTTATCTGCTGCATATTTACTCCGTTTGCTTTTTTGGGGGGTATCTCAGACTTAAAATGCACCTAAATCTGAATCCTTGATTCTTCTCCATCTGAATCCTTGATTCTTCTCCATCTCACTGCTCTCCCATCTCCCCCTGCAAAAATTAATTTTTGCTCTTATTCCAGTCTCTTAGATTTTAGTTAATGGTCTCCCTATCCACTTAGTTACTTAAGCTAAAAACCTGGGCATTTTCCTGGATTCCGCTCTCTTCTCCCCTCACATGTGATCCATTAGCAGGTCCTGTCAGCTTTGCCTCCAGCACGTATCTGGACTCTGCAGTGTGTCAGCTGTCACCATCACCTCTTGCCATAACTAGTGCAGCGGCATCCAGTTGGGTCTTGTTCCCATTTCTTCCTCTGCACCCCGTGTTTGATGTGGCCTCGCCCACTGTTCCTTATCTGGGCCCGGTCTCTTTCTCCATTAGTCACGTTTCTCTAGCCCAGCTGGCCTTCTCTCTTTTCCTTACAAACCGCCAAGCCTGTTCCTGCCTTGATGCCTTTGCACCTGTTATATCTTCTGCTGTGTGTGTGTTCAGTCTTCACATCTTATCAGACCAAACATGGCCTCCCCGACTGCCACCTGTAAAGTAGACTCTGTCCCCATTATTCTGTATTTTATTACCGGGTTCAGGTCCTGCAGCTGCCATTGAGTAGCTGTGTGGTTTTAGCAGAGTCTCTCAAGCTCCTCTTCCTTCATTATGGGATAATAGTACCTACCTCGTAGGCCTGTGTGGTGTTACTGTTACTGTTGTGTTGCTGTTGCTGTGATTTTTAACCTCATCTTCAGCACGGTGATAACAGTGTTACCATTTCTGCTGGTACCGAGCTCCCGGTCAGACTGCAGGGCGTCTCCGTAGGTACTTTCCTTTCAGTGTGGCACAGTGATGCTCTTAATTTAGTCTCAGTGACTAAATTTCATCAGTGCTGCCGGGCATTTTTCGAAGTGCTTTAATCCTCTCATCAGTGCTATGAGTCAGTATTCTTATCATTTCCGTTTTGGGAAGAGAAGTGTTAGGCACGGAGTAGTTAAGTAACTCGCCCAGGGTCACACAGCTGGTGTGGAAGACGCCATATCTGGAGCCTTACTTTCTAGACCCCACACCCCTAACCGCTGCGCTTCACTGCTCAGCGAAGTCCAGGATTCTTGAGTTGTGTGGTTAGCGCGTTGTATACAGGACATACTCTGTGTGAAGCCATACGCACTTACTATTGGAAGAAGTTTTTCCACCACAAGCCATACCTTAGTGCAGTAGAATAAGGAGCGTGTCCAACATATACATAAAAGAAGCAGGGCAGTTCATTATATCATAAAAATGGGCATCTTTGTAAAACTTAAAGCCTAAACATTGAGATTTGAAGTATAATACAGGTGATCTGATGGGAATGACCTAGCAAATGGTTTAAATATGTAGCTGGCTGCTCTTTGCAGTAGAATGCTAATATAGAGTTATTTAAGATTGTTACATGGAATTTTATGTCAATTCTCAACTAAAGGTCACAGGGTGACCTTTTCTCTGACCTGTTGGCCATTGAAGACACAAATATATTAATTAATAATTATGAGTTCATTTGTTCATTTATTCATTAAATGTTTATTGAGCATTTCCTGTGGCTGGCATGGCCCTAGGTGCTGGGCGTACACAGTGAGCAAAGTAAGCGAGGTTCTAACCGTGGCGAGTTCATGTCCTAGTGTGAGGAGGACCTGTGGCTGCCCCCGTCAGGTGGACTAGCCCTTGGCGGGAGTGGGCCCAGCCCGTGCAGCGGCCCAGAGGACAGGCGGGGGTGCCCAGCAGCGGGGGCCAGTGTGTAGCAGTCCTTCAGAAGGGGCCTACGTCGTGCCTGTGTCGCCTGCTGTCGTGAGCCCCTGCTGTACACCTGTGTCACTTTGTTCATTGTTATTTTTCAAGCAGAAGACCTTCAACAGGAAGAAGACGGACCAGCAAGAGAACAGCAGCCAGAAGACGATTTCCTTGTAGGAAGTGACGCGGAGGACAGATTCGAGCCCCTGGAAACTGGGACATTCCAGGAAGGTAGTACATTTCTTGGTTTTGTTGCAGGAAGCGACACCCGACGGAAGAAATTAGACGCTCAGACAACTTTGTTATTGGAAGGAGAATTTAATGCCGGTGGAGAGCGTGGGGCTTTCAGCAGCACCAAAGCACGATCTCCCCTTGCTTAGGTTTCTTACAGCTTATATTCCCTTGCAGGGTCCATGCAAGGGACACGTGATTCCTTTGTCTGAGGTTTCACATGTGCGTCATGACTCAGGATGGGGACGGGGAGCTTTGGGTCGTGGACTGCAAGGCGGGAGGAATTTCCAGACCACGGGTCTTGTTTTGTAGAACCCCCGATCTTGGCATTGTCAGCACCATTATAGGATTCTTGAACAGAGAGGTGGGACCTGCTTGGCGGATTCCTATCCAAAGGCTGAGCTCTAATTGTAATGTAACAAGCAGTTTTACACAGTCTTGTTATTCCTATACAGCTACAGAGATAAGAACTTTAGTTGGATAGCAAGCTATGAATCAGCAGATGTGAGCTGGAGAGTCTTTGAGGTAGGGGAGGGAGCTATGGGAAAACGTGATCGCTGGAGGGCACTGGGCAGCATGGGAGGTGAGAGCAGCTTTAACCGGCTGAGTCGGTTACTTCTGCAGGCCTTTTGCATTTTTCAGATGCCTCCTCTCCTCTCTCAGTTTCAGAATAAAATATAATAGACAATTTAGAATTATGATTATTGAAGCGTTTCTTAAATACCTTTAAAACCAATATTCGACTTTTAGCTAAAGTTTTTGTTTTTTTTTTTAAGTTGAAACTAAAAACTTCAGTTGAAAGGATTTTTTTCCCTGAAATAGATATCCCAATTTCAATCAAAGCACTTTTAGGGAAACTCTCAGGATATATAAATTTCTTAGAGAAAGTAAGTGAAATACTTCCACTTGTCACTTTTATTGTTCTCTCCTTTCTAGAGTGCCATGTGTTATAAAGAAAATAAAACAACTGATGAAATATTTTACTTGATGACCTATCACGGGCTCCGGTTCTAACATAGACTGTATAACTGCAGTCAGTAGAACACAATTCTTTCTTACAAGAGGCATTGGCAAACTTTTTCTGTTATCGGCCAACAGGCTGATGCTCGGGGCTTTGCAGACCACGTAGCTGGTGTCGCGACAACTCAGCTCTGCTGTCAACAGCACGGAACCAGCCTGGATGATACTTACATGGGGATTTATGGTGGCGGTTCAGTAAAAGTTTACTTACGAAACTGGACAGCAGAATTGGTCTAGGCTATAGACCATACTTTGCTGTTTCAATATCTTAAATATCAGTTGAGTAGTATACCTTGGATCTTTGGCACTAGGCAAGTTAGAGTGACAGTATCGACTGTTGACATACAGAGTAGTGATTTCTGTGACGATGAAAACTCTATTCATATATTTTGTGCTTTGCTCTGCTTTAATGTGAGGCTACCATTACGTGTACATAACTTTTTTCTTTATGAGATTCTCTGTCCTCTGTTCTTAAAGTAGTCCTTTAATATCTTAATGAGTTCTTAAAAGATTTTAAGCCATAATTTTATACTCTGACGTCATTTTATTTAAAACATATAAATGATCTAATTTTACATTTAGAATGAATACTGATAAAACCCTGTTTATTTAAGATAGACGTTTCATTTCTAAAGAGTCATGAAAGAAAACATGTTAGTCTGTCTGACTCATCCTCTCTCTCTAGCTCAGGTTATTGTATTTGTCAGCCTTGTGGGGTAGTTGAGCGGATCAAATGAGAGAACACGTGAGGTATTTCTGAGTGTAGTTCCAGTGAGAGGTAGTGTTCAGCAGACAGTTAATTGATCAATTCATGTTTTATTTTAGTAGTTATTTGCTTTCAAAATAAAATCAATGATGAGCATAGATTCAGAATATATATATGCAGTATATGTACCTACTATTTTATGAAAGTAGTAATATTGATTTCATGTTCTTTTTTTCCAGAAACTGAAAATACTTACCATGTAGAAGAGCCAGGTGAGGTTTTAATTTAATATCCTTCCTTTTTCAATTAGAATTGATCTTTTCCTATAAAAGGACATTGAGAGTGAGAGAGAAAGCATGATTATTTATTAGTAATAATATTTTACACTATATCAGATATCTATAATATACAGTTAATAATCCTTCTATATATTATATATATTATGTTATATTTTTGTGTTTTTGAAATCTGTTTCCTGAATTTAAATTCCCAATAGTGGGATTACTAGGTCAAACGATACTATAGAATTGCATGTTTTGTAGTCTTAAATTACAGAGTCAGTAAAAGGTCAGAATTGTGTGTTGTTCCACGTCACACATCCCCAGATGTTATTGCCACGCTGTAGACAGGCACGTCATCTTTCAGAAAGCCTGTGTTGTTGGCCACTGTTGGAGTAGATCCCTCTTTCTGTGCTTGAGGACCATGCGATATTGTTGGCTGGCATCAGGGCATATACAGTAGCCTCGACAATATGCGTCTGTAAACACTAGAATTCTGTTGCAGTCTGGGGGCGCTCAGGTATTGAGACCAAGTGAGGGGCTGAGAAACGTGTGTCCTCACTCAGGCTCCCAGGCAGGTGCTTGCTGCGTGGGAAGGAGGAGGGCCGGCTCCCAGCACTGCTGTTGCTGTCTGTCTCCATCTCTCCGTCCCATTTTTGTTTTGCTGAACATAGTTGCATTTGCATAACCTAAATAAGACTACCGCTCCACTGTTTTGTGGTTCGATGATAAATCCATTGCAATGGGGACTGTCTTACTCATCTTCGTATTAGGCGTTTAGCATAGGTAGTACCTATCTGTTCATGAATGAATGTGAGTTTGAGCATCATTATGGTTTGATTTCATACATCGCTATTAATACTAGAAATTGTGTTTTCCTATTTTGAATATCAAATGTGATCCTTATTTGAGTTATATCTGTAATTTCCTAATTGTTTCCTAATATATAGCTTCACAGGCCGATAATCAGGATATGGAAGAGACGACGTACGAACAGGAAAATCCAGGTTTGTGATACATGTTTCCATTCGAAGCATTGACCAAGGCCGTTTTAATCCAGAGTAATGCTTCATTCCGATTCAACAGAGTACTCTTTATAATACTTCTAATCATTTTTGGTTGCCCAGATAGTTGCAGAAATTTCTGAATGTACTTTAATGGAAGTTACTGAGACAGAATGACAGATTAGAGTGAAATTAGGTTCGAATCCTAGTACTGTTCCTTCCTATCTTTTGAATTAGAAAATTATGGAACTTTATCTTAAATTTTATTAAGTGATAAAGATGATATCTTACATGGTTTTGAAGATTAGAATTAATTCATAAATAGTTGAGAATGAAGTCTAGTGATATGTTTGTTTTTTTTTCACATTTGACAAAGGTGTACATTTTTTTCTTTTAGATTCCATTGAACCAGTAATAGATGATGATGAAAGAATTTATCCTGATGCAGGTATTAGATGAACATTCTATTAGATTTTAAACATTACTTAGAGGCTTTATAGTTGCAATGCTATGTTAACATGGTGATTTTTCTTTCAAAGGAGACAATTTTAACACCTAATGTAAGATGTTTTGCTTTGTAACAAAATTAGATTATTAAAAGAATATTAGGCTTTCATATTTCACCTCATCTACCACTGGCTCCACAACAAAACAGGATATGACTTCCTAACTCTACTTCTGCATATCTAGCTGTATGCCAGTTGCAGAAATTTATATGAAAATAAGTTACCTGTCCTTTTCTCTAGTTGTTTTTGGGCAGAGGCATTTTTCACTGACTCTGCAGATAATAATATTTAAAGAAATAGAATTCTATTTTTGAGATTAAGTTGTGTTTTTAGCCAAGCAGTTACACAGAATGACTCATTTAATTCTTTGGTTTTATTCTCTTTTTTGCAGATGATGTAACATATCAAGACTATGATCAAAAAGGTTTGAAAATGCTTCTTAACATTAAGCCACCTGCTTGTTTTAAAATCTACTCATAGTTTGATTGTATAGGATAGAGAGTATTGTTTTAAGCCATAAAACCATAACTCAAAACATCCAAACGAATGATAGTTTTCAAATAATTACCTATTTCAATGGTTCTGCCATTGCCTTAAGAATTTCTTAAATTCTTTTAAGTTGCTTTAGGAAGCAGTTAAAATTATTCAAGAAAACTTATCTCATTATGTTATAGTCATAGCTCTGTCTTGACTAAAACAAGTAATGTACTTATTAAACTACCTTAGTCAGAATTTAACTACTCTTGCTGCTTTGACAAATCAGTCTCACTCTTAAGTACCGGGGACTGATCCACCAGCATGGAGAAAGGTGCAGAAGAGGTTCATTCCAGGCTTAAAGGCAGCATGGAGAAAATAGTTCTGGCAGCTCGATGGCATGAGTCGTCTTAGATGCAGATTTAGGTAATGATAGCTCTCTCGTTGCCCAAGCACTTTACATGCTGTTTTATTAAACGCCATGAAGTAGATTATATTTTTGCTACTTCCAAGATGAGAGAAATAAGGTTCAGAAAATGTAACCAGTTCTAACAAATGATAGAGCCAGTGGTGTATCCTTTGTATTCCAATATCTTCAAAGATGACTGTAGAAGGGAAAAACAAGTCAGTCAAGTAGAACTTCGTGTGTGAAGCAAGAAAGGTCAATAAACATATAGTGCTTGAGTCAAATATGGAGGACTTTTTATGTGGTTTTAGGTTTTAGGGCTAGGCATTCAAATGTGAACGTATTATAGAGTCTACTTTCAGCAAATTTGTATTCTCATGATAGCTGGTGAATGTCAATAGAAGAAAATTAGAAATGGCTGTGTGTACATCTGATAAGCTAATTTATTAAGTGTGTACATTTAAGATTTGAGACCCTACCAAAATCACCATCCACACAGGCTCTTTCTACTGGGATGTGAATGACACCCTTGGAAGAATTCTAAATTCTGTTTTTATGGACTCATATTTTTACAAGAAATTAAATAACATGGCCACTATGATTACATTTAGATTTTCTTTTCAATTTTGAATTTGAAGGAGAAAATAGGAACTCAGAAACTAAAAGGTTGCATGTAGAGGTAGGATTTGACATACTTTACTGATTTCTAACAGTCATTTAAGTGTTTTCTTCAAAACTGGGAAGAACATGTTTGGAATGCAATTTGCAGACTAGGTCTAGAAAACTTCAAAATTAAACTTGAAAGAAGTATAAAATAAGACACCAGGCTAAAAACGTACTGTAAAAATGAATTTCCATAGGCAGAATGTCATAAAAATATAATTTAAAATGTTAACAAAGAATAATAAATATGACCTAAAGGGTCGTTAAGCTTTAGTGAGATACTTTGGATTATCTGACTGTAGAGCATAAGCTTTTTCAAACAAAACAGATCTGCTAGAGCACAGGATTATTCACTATGTGTTAAGAAGACGCTTTTGTGGAATTCACTAGGGAATTCCAAAACTAGGGAAACCAAGCGACTGTATACAAGTGAAACTATAAGTAGGATAGAAAAAAATCATTTTTAGTGGGAAAAGAGAATATATTCTGTAATTAAATCCCTGAACTCTAGAACCTAGAAAATCTATGGATGGAACCAGCTTTCCACATAAAAAAAAAAAAAAATCTGAAAAAGCATCAAGCCTACATTGGATACACCTGGGGAATAATAATACAGTCTTACCATCTGATTGATTTATTTATTCATACACTACATATGTACTAAGTATCTGTAATAGTTCCAGTGACGAGCACACAGATGGTCTCCATTCCCTTGGACCTTATATTTTAACAGGAGGGTAGAAATTACACAAATCGTTTCAGTTTAGTGTTCAGTTACAGTTGTGCTAAGTGCAGGTGAGAACGAGCGCTGTGTGTGACAGGAGAAAATAGGAAAGTGACCCCACCTAGTTCCTGCTCCAGGCAAGCCTTCCCTGAAACCGAGCGGATGAGAGCACTTGGCAAGGCAAGGGGGAAGGTGGCTGAAACACAGTCGGAAGCCGGTAAGGTGGCAGGTGTGTCTGGAGTGCCGAGAGTAAGAGTCACGGCCTGAGATTGTGAGGTGGTCCCAGTCCAGAGCGTGCCTGTAGGTAGGCCGAGGGTGTTCACCTTCACCCGAGGGCACTGTTTCAGGCACTGAAAAACCAGGTCTGCATTTCGTAAAGATCAGTCTAACCTGGAGCAAATACACGGAGAGAGACAAGAGTAGTTAGGGGGAGACCAGCTGAGTTACTGCAGTTATCCAATCTGATCTTGCCTGAGCCACATCTCTGCCAAATGAGGAGTCAAAGGAGATGACTTTCAAGAAAGGGATTGAACAGCAGAGTCCCATGCTGCTGAGACCCCACGCAGGGCAAGTAAAAACGTGCATCTGATCTCGTACTACAGGAGCCTCTCGGTGACCTTGGCAAGAACTGTTTTCAATGGACAGAGTTGGACAGAAATGAAAACAGTGTAAACCAAGGTGGTGGCACTGAAGGTGAAGGGAAGTAGACAGCGTTGAGAAATATTGAAAGATAAAATCAACAGGGCTTGATGTGCAGATATAGCTGGGGAGAGAGAGCAAGGTGTCAGGGACCACGTCTACTGTTGTGCCTTATGCACTCGATAGATGGTGATGCTCTTTTCCTAAGACAGACAAAGGTGGGAAACGGGAACTGGCCCAGATGGTCCAGTCTGTACGTGTCGATAGTTCACGTTGAGACATCCAAGGGGGGAAACCTAACAAGCTGATAGGTAGATGATGTTTGGATCTCAGAAGAGAATTCTGATTCATGGTCGTGAGCTTGAGAATTGTGAGCATATATGTGGTAATTGAAGCCAGTGACAGAGCTGACTTATGGAGAGAGGATAGGGTGGGAAGAGAGGAGATTCTGTGGCTGGACTTTGATGAAAGGCAACCTTTAATGCCTGGAAAGAAAAGGATGAAATGATAAGGACTATTGAGAAGGAAAAACCAAGGAGTGAAAGGAGAATGTGGTCATGTTGAAGTCCAAGTGCAGCAGCGTTTGAAAAGGAAGGAACCACTAAGAGATCACATGTGGACTAGATGGAATGTGTCCACTACGTTAGCTGAGGTGCCCGTCTCCTCAGAACCAGACGCATAGACACAGAGGGGAGGGGCCTGCGGGGATGGGTGGAAAAAGCGAAGGAGAATGAGAGCTACAGACTTCCACTTATACAACCAGTAAGTCTCAGGGATGTAACGTGCCGCGCAGGGAACGTAGTCAGTGATATCGCAGTAACTTTGTCAGGTGACAGATGGTTAGTAGATTTATCATGATGATCACTTCATAAGATATATAAATGCCGAATCGCTGTATTGTTCATCTGAAACTCAACTCCACTTAAAAACATGAGGTGCTCATTGGTCTTAGGAGCCTTTTTCAAAATGTGGTCAGGGCTGGCAGGCCGGAGTGGGTTGAGAGGAGGAAGCGAAGAGATGTAAGTGACTCTTCAAAGAAACTAGACTGTAAAATGGAGGAAGGAGGGGAAGCAGGCTCAAGAAAGGACACTTTTTTAAGTCAGCATGATTGAATACTGACATGGGTCGGGGCGACAGAGTGGGCAAACGTTCACTGCTCCTTCGTCTTACAAATGCCACTGAAAGGACAGAAAACAGTCTATTAAAAATTGTTTGTCCCTCGCTCCACACCAGTACTGAGAATAATATATCTGAAAGATAGTAGGTGCTCAAAATTTTTTCTTTATTAAATGGACAAAAAGAACAACTTTATAACCGTGCTGGGAAACTAAGAAAGTTTGCTCTCAGTATGGGAGAAAATTTGAGGTATTTGGAAGACGGAAAAAGTGGCGATCAGGTACACCACGAAGCTGTGACCCAGCTGGGCACGGGAGAAGCCTCCTGCAGAGACAAGAGCCTTCTGTGGAGCAGAGCGCAGGAGCATTAAACCCCATGCCAGTAAATTCGAGAAGTGCGTGGCGGGCCATGGATAAGCTTGTGAAGTAAGGGCCTGCCAGACAGACAAACCCTCACGCGCAGAGGCTGGTGCCAGACATGTTTGCCCCCAGGTGAAAGGTCTGAGACTCCTCCCCTGGTGGAAATGTGGAGTGATAAGCCGGGTAGAGCCTCGGGTAACTGAGACCGTCCACCACAGATGTGAAGAAAATAAAAACGGGAAATTCAGTGCTGCCCAGCAGTGAATTTGTTTATCCACTAAACAGATTATTGGATCCTGGTAACAAATGTTTGGGGAGGAACCTTAATCTTCCCCGTTTCCTAAGAGAGAAGCATATGTAATTGCCCATCTACTATGGCTAAAAAGTGGCTGACTTGGAAACTGAATCGGGGCTTGCTTCACTTCAAACCAAACTCTTCCCCACCCTGCTCTGTAGCCTGCTATTACTGCGCAGTCACTAAGCCCCGGAGTTCAAAGATAAATTAGACTTTGTCTGTGCTTTTGAATCCTACAGCGAGTGTTGTGTTATAACGAGAGTTACGCGGTGCTAAAGGATTATTTTTTGTGTGTATTTTATAGTGTATGAACCATCGGACAGTGAAGGGATAGAAAGTTCAGGTAAGCGCTTTCTCTAAGCAGATGTTTCCTCCTGCAAGTCATCCCCCCTTGTACCTGTTGAATCTCATATAACACGTGGGACTGAGATTGACGTAGTAAGACGTACAAGACCTTTTCAAGCCACCAAGGAAGTAATTGGATACAAGTTGTCACTATATTTAGTCCCTACTTATGGTGCAGGTTTTATGCCAGCAGGGGTTATATCAGCCTATTTGATGTATTCTTTGAATAAAATTTAGGAATTACAGTTGGAATGCTGGTATAAATACTTATGAGTCTCACTATAAGAAACCCCAGTCTAAAAAGAGCCAGATTTAGGTATTCGAGTGGCTATAAGTTAATTCAGGGATCTCATGGAGTTGAGTAAATGTAAGATGTGTGTGTTTTTTCCTAGATAAAGTAGAAGATTCAAACATAATTTTAGAAGGTAAGTTAATTTTATAGAGATGGTTTTACTTTTCAAATTAAAAATATGTTTACGTATCAACAGGTGTTTATTGAGTACTTTTAAATCTCTCTACAGTGCTCAGGGGGTAGGAGGACGGGAGTGACTAGGACAGAATTCCTGTTTTCTTTGGGGTTGCCATTCTAGCGGCCAGACAGAAGGTGAATAATTAAAGATTATGCAAAGTGCAATAACAGATAAGAACAGGATGGTAGGATAGAAAATGAGTGGCGAGAGTGAGGAGGGCTGGTTCAAATTTCATGCGAAGGGGTTAGCCATAGGCAGAGATGGGTCGAAAGTTGGGTCCTTTATGTTATTCGGCTGAGAAAATTTGGGGGAATTACGTGAGGTGCCCGGGTGGTGGCGTCAAGTAGGGGTTGGATGTGCCGTCCGAACCAGGCGGGCCGGAGCCGAGGTGGATGTAGATGTCTGGGAGCCACCATCCTGAGGGTGCCGGTCACTTTGCGGAAGCAGCTAAGACCGTTTTGGAGGTGATCGCAGAGAGAGAAGACGAGCAGCCTGAGGCTGAGCTCTAAGGAAGCCGGCGGTTGCAAGGTTTGGTGGAGCAGGAAACCACGAGGCAGGAAGAAAACCGGTGGAGAAGAAGGCGAAAGCGCAGACGTGCGGAGGGAACGTGCTCCGCTCCTGCCGCCGCGTTGCGGGGCTGAGGACTGTCCTCGCATTTGGCATGTGGAGGTGGTTGGTGATCTGAGCAAAAGCTACTTGAATAAATTTATGGGAGCGAAAGCCGTACTGTCCTGGAGTAAGGAAAAGTCAGCTGTATCAATAGGCAGCTCTTTCAGATGTGCTGATGTAATCATCGATTTCTTTTTTAAAATCCTCTTATTACATCATTACCAAAATAAACGTTTTTCTTAGTTTAACAGCAGTGATGAAAGTAACAGTGGAAATGATACTTTATGATACGTCCAATCTTTTCAAATGTACCTAACATGACAATAGTAAAAGAAATTCTGAGAACAAGTATTGGTAAAGTTGGTAAAGTGCTAATATGTCTCTAAATTATTAAGAATGAAATAAATAGGCAAACCTGTAACAAGGCAGTCACCACGCAGAAAGCTGGTCAACTTTCAAGGTACTGCTGGTAAAGAAGGAACTATGCCGGAATGTTAATAGTGATTAGTGGGAATATGTATGATTTTTTTTGTTTCCTTTTTACTTTTGTATAAACTATTTACAAATCTTTCATTTTGAGCATGTATCATTCTTATAATTAGAAGCAAGTTCACGCCAGAAGAAAAATGATTAAAGTAGCTGCATAAATATTTTGAGTTTTAGAAAATGCTATTAACAGTCCCACCTTTCACCAAAGCCTGTTGCAAGTGTTAAGGAGCAAAGCGAAAGCTGATGTGCTCTTCTCTCTAGGTTGAGGTGCCGCCACCTGGGTTGTTAGGTATGAAGATTCTACTACCCAATGTAATTTTATAAAGCGAATCAGATCAATATGTCATTGTATCAGTGGGTGGTGCGATCTGTCTGTTTGGTTATAAGTGGGTTGAAGCAATCAGAGAAAAAGACAAGATGTTAAAAATTCACATCCACATTTTTGGCTAGTCTTAGAATATGTTATCTTGAATATTTTCGTAAAACTTTGTTGATAGCGACTTATTTTTACGATTCTATTTCAATTTCATTTCTTTTGTTCACATTAAAATTAGAGTTATGAGTTAAAACATTAAAACATTTATTTAAGAAGAAACAAGGTGCTTTAAATATCTTTCCTCAGTTCTATCAATTCTCATACACATTGTGGGTTTTAGTTCTGTCTCTCTTGCTGAGCAGTGAGGTTCGAGGTTAGGCAGGCAGCCTGTTGTACAGAACACTTGAAAAATGTACAACATTTTACAAAGTTATAGCTAATTTTTCTTTGTTGCGATGGTGTAAAAACCTGTTCTTTTTATAATGATTGCAATTGAATCCCCCCCCGCCAAAAAAAAAATCCTTAAAAATAATCACTGTAACTTAAATACCAGCAATCCATATTTGAAATACTGGTCAGCAACATGTAATGGATTGTAACTCTATTATTTATTTTAGAAGTACGTGTGCCTCCAGCCGAAGAACAGCAGGAAATACCACCAGGTATGTGATAGTTCATCAGATGTGTTGCTTTTTCCTTTTTTGTTTGATTTAAAATATGGTGTTGATATTCACACCAGCCGTGTGAACTAAATCTGTGAAGAGTAAAAGTCTCGAGACACAAGGATTAATTATACCTCAACTTAAAAAGAAAATTTTCTGTGTTTTGATCAGGTGAGCCAAAGTAATGGAAACTACATATCAGATTCACTCTAGCACGTATTTGTTGCCCTAGAATTAGAGGGGTGTTCGTGATCAAAGGACATGTGAGTTTTGCCGTTACAGATGGAGGTAGTAGTAGAAGTTAGGTTTTTATTTTCTTCCTTTTTTTTGACTGACAGGCTATTTGATGGACGATATGGAACCAGAATTGCCTTAAGATGCAAGTTTAATAGTATATATATTTGCGACGTCCCCCGTCCGCCCCCGTCAGGCCAGGCTGCCTACGACTTGTCAGGACCCTGCAGTCTTTCCTTTCAGTCCACTGCGCTGACCCAGTTCTTCACTTTCCCTTACCTTCCCCCACATGTCCCTCTCATCATCAGTAAATGTAAAGAATGGGAGAAGCATTTCAACCACGGCCTGTGCTTTCCAATGCATTTTGGAGGTGACATTAGCTGTACCTATAATCAGAAATGAACATGTAAACTTCCTGTTCTCATAGGAAAACAATGTTTTATTAAGATTTTCCAATTCTTTTTTTCCAAAGTATATTTCTTCTTGTTTCTGTTTTATTTCCATTTTTCCCTTTTTGTGTCATTGGTTCAATTTTTACTCATTTTTTCACGTCATACCTAATGTGAATTTCATAGCAATGATGTACATTACTATTATTGATTTTGGTAGAGATAACTGTGCCTGCCAAAATTTATTGAATACTGAATTTCAAGGGAAAAACTTTTATAATCAAAGAATATTTTAAGTTATACCTCAGCTCATCTTTACTTAACAATTGGATGTTTTAGGTTTTGATCGTTGTCATACCGTGTACATTTATAAAAATATGTACAAATACTTAAGAGAACTACGTCGTTGGTATTGTAATATGAATGAGAAAAGAAATCCATGGAGAAATTGATCTTTTACATGGTGACTACTGGGTGTGTATATAGACTTGGTGTTCAGGAACGACACACAGCAAGGAAGGTTGGTGTTTCTGTCCTACTTTCGTAGTTTGCTCTGTATGGTTGAGAGAGACGTCACAGAGTGTTCTGTTCTTTCTTGAGGAGGCAGAGCAGATTACTGAATTCGCATTTCGATTACTATCCATGTCTTTTAAAATCATGCGAAGTGAAATAAGCCAGACAGAAAAAGTTGAAAATCACATGACATCACTTAAATGTGGGATATAAACCTAAAAGCAACAAATGAGCAGGACAAACAAACAGAGACTCATGGACATGGACTATAGACTAGTGGTTACCAGAGGGTGGTAAGGGGGTGGGGGGAGGTAGACGGGGTAAAGGAAGTCAAATATGTGGTGACAGAAGGATATCTAACTATAGGAGGTGAATACACAGTGTAAACATATATATGCCTTACTGTTTAAGTGTACAGCTGAACCAGTGTCACCATAAAACAAATTTTTTTTAATTGTTTTATAAGTATTCCTAAAAATATTGAGTTTCTGCAACATTTTTTCCAGTTACAGTACATTTTTTAATATTGACCTAACTTTAGTGAAGATATGAAAGGTAATATTATTTTCTGACCAAAAAGTTCTATGCTTTTATTTCCATGTTTTATAAACTAAGCACAAGAATTTCCTTGGAACATAGGTATAAAATACCAAACGGTTAGACTGCTGGGATAAAAGTGCTTTTTTAGATGAGATATTTAACAACTAAAGCACATAAAAATGAAAATTTGATTAATATACATACTTCCTGACATAATAAGCTCCCAGTAAATGGTGTCTATGGCTGTCACCATTTAGTAATTAATTAGCCTGATCTTTTTTATGGTTATACCCCTCTGTTATTTTTAAAAATTTATTTTAAAAAAAAAACATTTCAACTAGAGTTGACATTCAATATTATATTCGTTTCAGGTGTACAGCATAGTGGTTAGATATTTACATAATTTATGAAGTGATTCACCCAGTTAGTCTAGTACCCACTTGGCAGTATTCATAGTTATTACAATAATATTGACTATCTTCTCTATGCTGTACTTCACATCCCATGACTATCTTGTAAATACCAATTTGTACTTCTTAATCCTTTATCTTTTTCACCCAGATCCCCAGTCCCCCTCCTATCTGGCATTCATTCACCAGTTAGTTCTCTGATCTATGAGTGAGATCATATGGTATTTGTCTTTCTTTGTCTGACTTACTTAGCATAATACCCTCTAGGTCCATCCAAGTCATTGCTAATGGTAAGATTTTTTTTTTGTGGCCGAGTAATAGTCCATTGTATATATGTAGCGCCTCTTCTTAATCCAGTTGTCTGTTGATGGGCACTTAGGTGGCTTCCATATCTTGGTTATTGTAAATAGCGCTGCAGTGACCGTAAGGGTGCATGTATCTTTTTGAATTAGTGTTTTGGATTTCTTCAGATAAATTCCAGAAGCGGAATTGCTGGGTCATAAGGTAGTTCGATTTTGAACTTTTTGAGAAACCTCCAAACTGTTTCCCATAGCGGCCGCACCAGTTTGCAGTCCCACCAAGAGTGCACGAGGGTTCCCTGCCCTCCACATCCTGGCCCGCACTTGTGTGTTGATTTACTGATGACAGCCACTCTGACAGGTGTGAGGTGATATCTCATTGTGGTTTTAATTTGCATTTCCCTGCTGATTAGGGACATTGAGCATCTTTTCGTGTCTCTTGGCCCTCTGTGTGTCCTCTTTGGAGAAAAGTTTGTTTAGGTCCTCCACCCAGTAATTAATAATTGGATCGTCTGGGGTTTTTTTTGTTGCTGTTGTTGAATTGTATGAGTTCTTCATAAATTTTGGACATTAATCCCTTATCAGATGTATCATTGGCAAATATCTAAGAGAAGCTGAATTCTGAAAGGCCTGTTCCGGAAGTTGTAGCCCATAATTTGGTGTCATAACAGTCTGGTCGACCCGCTGCACAGTGTGGTCTGACCTTGCCAGAAGAGAATGTAGGACCGAGAGCTAGCAGCAGTCATTTTCAGTGATTGTGCTTGGTTTGTTTATTTCTATTATCCTCTCTGTCTTAACTTTATATTACGATTTTTTATTATTCGCACTTAAAAAATAATAGCCAAAAATCTGTATTCATGATCTTTTGTACGGTAGGCTGATTGCTTTTGTCATGGTGTTTAATTGTGTATGCGATTGCAGAAACCGTGGGCACCCTAATCGTAGCGCCTGTCTTCTTACTGCCTTTTAATCTTTAAAATTCTTTTATTCAGGGAAAAACTCCAAAATGCTGGATATCAGTTCACTTTTTCCTGGCCCTCAGAATTTAATTGATAATTACTTTGTCTTCCCTGATCATTCTAAGACTAATACATTCTAATACAATCTTAATATTGCTTATTAAAGTCAGTAAAAATATTTATTGGTGTGGTAATTCCGTGGGGCAGGAGCTATCTAATTTACCATTATTGTATCCAGCCATACACTAGGGGATAATGAATGCTTACGTTTAGTAAGCATTATCTAGGTTCTCTTCTAAGCACATTACATGAATTAACTCATTTATTATTTCCAGTAGCCCCAGGGGTAGCTATGCTGTTATCCCCATTTTACCGATGAGAAAATCAACACAGCACGGCGCAGTCACTTGCCTGAGGTCACAGAGCTGACAGCGATAGGACTGGGTCGGTCCTTCCATCTGGTTCCCGTGTTCACACTCTCAGCTGCTGTGCTCTAGAGGATTTTAAATAAATGCAGGCCTAAGAGCTGATGAGTTTTGAGAGCTGTTTTGGTCTGATAAAACAGAAAATGTTGTATTCTTTGGTGTTTTTTTCTTAATGTACATTAGTATATCAGTTAGGACTCAGGAATGTTGAAGGTTAATTATGATTCAGTGTAGAAAAATAAGTTTTCCAAAGGCTTAAATTTTGCTGTCTTTTTATGTTTGTGAATTTATAAGTGCTTTGCTGATAAACTCTTGGCAGGGATATAAAAGGTCAGTCCTAAAAACTGATCATTTTAAATCCCAGATTTTTAAAAATTGATTTTGGAATCCCTTTTTCTTTAGCAGATTTTCACATTTCTCCTCAAACTCATATTTTTACATGAAATCATATAACGTGTGTCTAGCAATGTGACAGCATAAATATATGTAGCACAAATTGTATGATTTATGAAGGAATCACTTTAGAAATTCACGAGAGTAAAACTTCTTGCCAGATACTTTAAGACCATTTGACTAACTGGTTCCATCAATAATTTTTCTGTCATACCATGCCACGCACAAAAAACTTATTTTTATATTTTGTGATTATAATTGTGTTATCCAAAATGGAGATATGGGAGCATCAGTGTTTCTGGTCATTCTGCTGCTCCTGTCTCTCTGAAAATGGAGATGGCATTTGTGAGTCATTCCACTGTTGAATATTCTGGCGGCGGTGATGGCTTCACCCCACCGCATCTGTCTACAACTGTCACTCGTGCCTCCCCCGTCACCGGTTTTTTCTAACACTGATCAATAAAGCCCATAACCAGCTTTAGGATGGCAGCACTCATGGTCTTAGCCTGTGTAATAAGTGCTTAATATGCCTATCATTTTTATTGACTCGATCATTTACTCAGGAAATACATACTGAGCAACTGCTATGGCCCAGGCTCTGTAGTGGGGCAGTGAAGGTATGTGATCCACAGCATAGCCCCCGTCTCATATTGGTTTACACAGTCCCAGGGGCTTAGAGCCGAGGAAAGCAACGGACACGGTATCCTTAGGGCAGAGTGCCGCAGAAAAGTAGAATACAGGTGGAAAAGTAGGCAGGTGTTGCTTCTCGGAGTGTTTCATATACGATGTTTAAATGTCTAAATGTAAGCCTAAAAGTGACAGGAAGCCACTGAAAAGT